TGCAGGCAGTAACAACTGTGTTCTGAATCCCAATTCACAAGGTCCTGGATCAAATTCGGAACCAGCCCTATTTCAGAATGCCAGAGAGGACTCCAGGAGAGTTCATGGGAAGAAACATTGGCAGGCATTGTGCCTACCACAATGAAGATGGGCATACAACTCAGGGTTGTAGAGCCTTGAAAACACATTTGGAAGACCTGGTAAGACAAGGACATCTGAGAGACCTTGTCGATGAGACCAGGATAAGGGAAGAACGGGCAAGGTTGCCTCAAGCACCAACAGCCCCACCTCCCCCAGCATAGCAGCCGCAGGTAGGAGGACCTCGGGTAATCAACGTAATCCACTCGAAGGTCAACGAAAACGAAATTCGAGGAGAGACCCAGAAGGTAAAACACTTACAACATGTCTACCAAGTCGGGGAGAAAAGACATCGGGCAGAAGAGTGCCAGGGACCAATGATAACCTTTACTGAAGCCGACCTAGAGATGGTCCAGCACCCGCATAATGATGCCTTGGTAGTATCCCTCCAGGTTGGGGAGTGCCAAGTGAAACGCATGCTGATTGACCAACGCAGCTCTTGTGACATCATGTACGTCCGATGTTACAAGGAGCTCGGCCTTCACCCAGATGATATGGAACAATCCAATAGCCCAATGGTTGGGTTCAATGGAACGCCGACATGGCCACTGGGAATAGTAAGCTTGGAGGTGCAGGCTGGCACTAGGAAGATCAAGACAAAATTCACCATCATCGACACACCCTTCCCTTACAACATCATCATGGGAAGGCCATGGCTGCATACGATGGGGGCAGTTCCCTCAACATTGCACCAACTATTGCGATTCCCAACAAAGCATGGGATAGAAGATGTCAGAGGCGATCAGCTGCAGGTGAAGAATTGCTCCATGGCAGTAATGAAATCTACCTGCAGCATACGAGAGCCAAAAAAGACAGAAATTGAAGATGAGGATGTGGAAGTCCTAGAAGACGTCGGCAAGGAGCCAATCGAAAAGAGCGAAGAGGCACTAAAGAAAATCCTCGTCCAGGATGGGGATGAAGAATGCTTCTTTCTTCTCGGCTCGGGCTTAGCCGAAGAAGAAGAAAAAGAGTTGGAAGCTTTTTTGAGAGCAAATATTGAGGTGTTTGCTTGGACACCTTACGAAATGCCAGGCATTGACCCCGAGGTCACTTCCCATAAGCTGAACGTTGACAGGTCAGCTAAACCAGTAATTCAACGAGCGAGAAGACCAACGTTGGCACACGTCGAAGCAGTAGAGGAAGAAGTAGACAGACTTCTGGAGGCCAGGGTCATTAGAAAAGTTCACTACCCGACATGGCTATCCAATACAGTGGTGGTAAAGAAGAAGAACGATAAATGGAGGGTCTGCGTAGACTTTACCAGCCTCAACAAAGTCTGCCCCAAAGACAGCTTTCCTCTATCCAAGATTGACCAGCTAATTGATGCCACTTCAGGGCATGGAAGAATGAGCTTCTTAGATGCCTACAGGGGGTACCACCAGATAGCCATGTATCCCCCAGACGAAGAGAAGACCACGTTCATCACCCCAAAAGGCCTGTACTGTTACAGAGTAATGCCTTTCAGGTTGAAAAACGTAGGAGCAATTTACTAAAGGTTGGTAACCAAAATGTTCAAACACCTGATTGGCCGAACATTAGAAGTCCACATCGATGACATGGTCGTTAAGACCAAGGAGCCTGATGGTCATCTCGACGATCTAAAAGCAGCCTTTGGAATCCTTAAAACATATCGGCTTCGACTCAATGCATCGAAGTGTGCATTTGGAGTTGGATCTGGTAAGTTTTTAGGATACCTGGTGACCAGAAAGGGAATTGAGGCCAGCCCAGATCAGATCAAAGCCATCCTAGAGTTGAAGAGCCCGACGTCGGCAAAACAGGTACAGATGTTAACTGGAAGGGCCGCAGCCCTGAACAGGTTTATAAGCAGAAGCTCAGACAACTGCAAACCTTTATTCAACTTAGTGAAGAAAGCCACAGACTTTCTTTGGACAGAGAAGTGCGAAAAAGCATTAGCTGATCTGAAGAATTACCTGACCATAACTCCAGTTCTTTCGAATCCAAAACCTAGGGAGGAACTGTTCCTGTACTTGGCAGTTTCAAAACATGCGATAAGTGCAGTACTAATCTGAGAAGAAAAAGGGGAGCAAAGGGCTGTTTACTATGTAAGCAAAACCCTAGCCGACGTAGAAACAAGGTATCTACCCTTAGAGAAATTGGCACTGGCTTTAGTAATGGCTTCAAAGAAGTTGAACCATTACTTCCAAGCCCATAAAATTGTGGTACTGACAGAACATCCATTGAAGTCTCTATTGCAGCAGGGAGACTTAACAGGAAGAATATCAAGATGGGCAGTCGCCCTAGGCCAGTATGATCTGGAGTATAGGCCCAGAACAGCAACCAAAGGCCAAGTTCTGGCCGACTTCGTGGCCGAGTTTACGCCAGATTCCATCGTACATCGGGCTCCGTTGAGCCAAGATGAACGATGCCCAGACAAGCAAGGAGAAGCCCAGGCAAAGGCGAAAGAACAAAAGAAAGAAGAAAAACTCAGACCCTGCAGCATTTACATTGGCGACTCCTTTCAACTGTTCATTGATGGGAGTTCAAACTGACACGGAGGGGGGGCAGGAGTAGTATTGATATCCCCAGATGGGCAGGTACTAGAACAATCAATTCGTTTGGGGTTCAAGGCCTCAAACAATGAAGTAGAGTATGAAGCACTCATTGCAAGACTGAAGCAGGCAGCAGCAGTGCAAGCAGATGAGGTAATAGTTTTTTGTGATTCACAACAAATAGTTAACCAGACAACGGGCGAGTTTATAGTCCGAGATGAACGAATGTCGACCTACGCGAAGGAGGTCATCAGGTTGTCAGCCTTGTTTCAGAACTGCCGACTACTTCAGGTAAGCCGAGATGATAACAGCCATGCCAATGCGTTGGCCAACCTAACTAGTGCGGTACAACTTGGAAAAGCAAGGACCATAATGGTCGATTACTTGTCGAGCCCGAGCATTGAACCACTGACCACAAAGCGCGAAGCGATGTGTGTAGACATGGGACCAAGTTGGATGGATGCAATCATTGCATTCCTAAAAGAAGGAAAGCTGCCAGATGACCGCAAGGAGGCACACATGATCGGATTGAAGTCGGCAAGATTCAGTCTGACAGCAGAAGACATCTCTACAGAAGGTCCTTCACTGGACCCCTTTTAAGGTGCGTACACCCTTTACAAGTCGAAGATTTTTTATATGAAATACATGAAGGAATCTGTTGAAGCCACGCTGGGGGCAGATCACTCGCTCATAGGGCCATCACCCAGGGGTATTGATGGCCTTACATACAGAAAAATGCAGAACCCTATGCAAAGAAGCGTGAACAATGCCAAAGGTTTGCACCTCTGATACACCAGCCAACAGTAGACTTGAACCCTATATCCAGTCCTTGGCTATTTGCCCAATGGGGCATGGATCTCGTCGGGCAACTACCCCAAGCAACTGGACAAAGGAAGTATTTGCTTGTAGCAACAGATTATTTCACTAAATGGATAGAGGTTGAACCTCTTGCCAAGATTCGAGATGTGGACGTAAAGAACTTCATTTGGAAGAACATTATCACCAGGTTTGGGATTCCAAGAGCAATTGTTGCAGACAATGGAACTCAATTTGACAGTAAGCTAATCAAGAACTTTTGTGCAAAGTTCAAGATCAAGAACTACTTTTCAACCCCAAGTTTTCCACAAAGCAATGGACAAGTAGAAGCATCCAACAAAATAATTCTGGATGGGATAAAGAAGTGGCTGTAGGCAGCGAAAGGAAAGTGGGTAGACGAATTGCCCAATGTACTTTGGGCATATCGGAGTACGCCGAGAAGATCAATAGGGGAATCCCTCTTTGCCATGGCTTATGGCATAGAAGCAGTCATTCCGCTGGAGGTCGGCATCCCTGGGATCAGAACCCAGGGGGTAGACAACGGGACTAATGGTGTACTCCTAGCCCGAGATCTAGATCTTCTAGAAGAATGACGGGAGAAAGCTGCAATTCAACTCGCAGCATACCAGCAATAGCTTGCCAGAGCTTATAACAAGAAGGTTAACCCAAGGGAATTTTAGATTGGTGACCTCATCTTAAGGAAAGTCGTCGGCAACAAGAAGGATCCCAGAGAGGGCAAGCTTGGCCCAAATTGGAAAGGACCCTACAGAATCATCTCGGTGCTGGGCAATGGGGCATATCGGCTTGAAGATAATGAGGGCAAAGAGTTGCCAAGGCCTTGGAACACTTGCAATTTGAAATTTTTCTATCATTAGAATTCCTTTGTTCTTTTGTCATTTGCCGAAGTAAATAAATAAAGATTTAGCTTGGTTTTCTATTCAAGATACTTGACATTGTCTCTAGAATACATGTATAATGAGAACCCAAGTAGAACTTAGGTTCACATAAGGGGACAAAGAGAGCCGAAATCATTGTTTAACACTTGTTGAAATTTGTGGACAATTTACAAGTTGAAGTTAAACTGAGATCATTGTTTAACACTTGTTGAAATTTGTGGACAATTTACAAGTTGAAGTTAAACCAAGATCATTGTTTAAACACTTGTTAAAATTTGTGGACAATTTAGAAGATTGAAGACTAAGGTTAAACACTTGTTGAAATTTTATATTTACAAGGTGAAACCAAGATTACGCCGAGAAATGTAGTTAGGTACTTGCCGAAATAAATCATCAGTTTGTACAACTGGGGTGTGTCACGCCGAGGACGTTGCACAAGAATTGAAGTCTATATTGAAGACACACCAAAACTTCTAAGTATACAATCATGCAAGAGCAGTAAAGAAAAGACAAAGATATAAGCAATCAGAGAAGGAAAGTTGTATTAATATTCAGAAAAGGCACATCGGCCAAAAGCTTACAATCGTTCCCAAAAAAAGAAAAGCAAAAGTACAAAAGATGGAAGAAAATAAACATCAAATTAAGAGTCTTCAGCAGGCTGGGTTTGGACCTCGGAGGATTGCTGAGAAGACATCTCAGCAACCTTCTCGCCCGCAAGTTCAGCGTCGATTTCTTGCAGGGTTTTATCTAGGCTCTTATCGGCAAGAGGAACATCGGATAAAGCTTTCTTAGGAGCAGCATCTTTGCGAACCTCCTCATCTTCCTCATCTTGAGTCAAGTCCAGGACTTGCTCATTTTGAGGAGGAGACTTGGCCCCAGCAGCATCTTTGGACTTCCTTACCAAAACCTCCTCCTCCTCGGACTCAAAGTCATCGTCATCAGATTGAGCTAGAGTTGGTATTGGAGGGAATGAAAGAGGAATGTTGTCGGCGTTTCTCAAAGGCGAGTCCTCAGGGACATTAAGCTTGTTTAGAAGGGACATCCAACCAAGGGTGAAACCCTTGTTGCATGCCTCCTTCACTTGCTTTTCGTAGGCCTCCGTGACATCAGCCATGCCCTGGGCATACGCCTTCTCATCGGCATCCTTGATTTCAGCCTCTTTGGTAGCTAAGGCCTCCTGCAGCTCTTTTTGGGCTTGGGCCCTCTTCTCCTCGGCCTCTCTTTTTTGGGACTCAGCAACCTTCCTAATGGCCTCAGCAGACTCAAATTTGTCTTCGGCATCGGTCTGAGCATTGATGGCAGCTTCGGCCTGGTCCTCTAACTTCTTCATTTTCGATTGAAGGCTTTTGTTGGCTTTTTGAAGAGTAGAGAACTCCCTCTTCATCTCGGCCAACTTCTCCCGATTTTCAAAAGATTGAATAGAGAAAGAATGGGCATGTTGGATAGCCTGAAAAAATACAAGACAAAAGTTATTACGAAATCTTCTAAAGTACAGGAGAGGAAAAATTACCAAGTAAGGATACTTACCTGAACAGATCGTTGGAGCATCAAAGCATAATTTTCGTACTCACTCAACTCGGCATTTCGGTTGAAATCGCCGGGAAGAAGTAGAGCAGTACTGAGGGCGACACCAACGTTGATATCATCGGCGCTATCACTAGCCATAACAGGCTTATCTTCCAGAGTAATCTCAGGGGTCCAGGGGGCATCAGGCTTCTTAGACCCCGAGGTCGTTGCAGAAGATGACCTCGGCCTTTTGGATTTGGTGGATTCGGATGGAAGTGTTTCAACGGACCTCTTCGCAGGGACAGAGGAAATTTTTTCACTTGGAGCCAGTTTGGAAATTGGCAAGGTATCCTCAGAATCGATCTGAGGCACCTTTGCCTTTGGCTGAGCCTTTTTGATTCGTTTTGGCTTTGAGGGAGGCTGGGTTTGTGTTGGCTGGGCGTCAACATCAGTTGGAATGTTAGCCAGGAGATCTTTGGCAACTGGTTTTGGGCGACCCATCTCGGCAGTAGAAACTGTTCGGCGTCGATGGCGGCGTTGGGATATTGGAATCAAGTATGGAGCCGAGGTTGACGGTTGCTCAGCTGGATCAGAGGTTGACCCTTGGTCTGTCCGAGATGTGGATGCGGTTTGTGGAGTTGTGGCAGATGGTGGAGAAAGGCTTTTCTTCTTCTTTTTAGGGACGTCGGGCAGAGCTAACTTGTATGTTAGAATAAAATTGAGAAGCAGAGGCGCCTTCTGTTTATGGACTGGCAAGTCCAAAAGTCTCTTTAAATCCTTGCCGGGAATGAAGGATTGGCGAAAGTTTTTTGGTGGCTTAGGAACAGCTGCAAGAAAAACAAACATTAAAAAATAGATAAAGTATGAAAGACTTTACAAAACAAGTAGGTATGAATGCAGGGCTCTTACCATTGCCCTCTACAAAGACTGATCGAAGGAGAGGGAAGAGATGGACGTCTTCATCTGGGGCGAACTCCAAGTTCGCCGAAGTAATGAAATAATCGTCCCCAGCTCCCTTGTTGGAGTCAGGGAGGTCGGCAACGATTTTGTATTCAGTGGACCTTGGCTTGAGGTAGTAAACGTAGCCGGTGTCTTTTTTGAGGCCACACATAGTGTAGTAATATTGGATATCGGCTAATGTGATCCTAGCGTTTTCTTGTTTGGCTATGGTTATGATACCATTGATGGTTCGATAGGAATTGATGGAAAGCTGCATTGGGTTCAACTTGTAATAATGAATTATTTCACGGAAAAGGGTATTGAGTGGGAGCCGAAGTCCACACTCAATGAAGGCTATCATGGGGAAAGGCATGGAGTCATCAGTAGGCATGATGGAGTCATCATCCCCAACCAACCTCACATAGACGTCGGCTAGGATTTCAAACTCTTGTCTAAAGAATTCTAGTTTGGATGGGGTGTTTACCCTATGTTTCCACATACCCATGATGTCGGCTTAAATGGAGATATCGGATTTCAGGAAAAAGAATTTTTGGAAGGTTTAAAGGACCTCGGCCAAAAACGTAAAAGTACACTTTGGTAAGGGTTTGTATGGATCTAGAGGGAGTTCGCTTCAGTTTTTCCTAAATTGTGGGTTCTACAGACAAATCCCAAACCTAAGTCTATGGAAACGAAGATTGAAGGCACAAATCTGGAAAAGACACAAAAAAAACAGAAAACAAGAACAAGTTTTAGAATCAAGAACAAAGATGGACTATCAAAAACATAGTGAGTACAAGGGGTACAAGGTCAAGAAGAGTGGCAAAAGTGCAAGAAAGTGGTGAACAATGCGTGTGTTCAAGACATGGACAAAGAGAAAACTTAAGAAATAAACATGTTCAGATACATGATTCGCAAATCAAATATTCGAGTAAAACAGCAATGGCGACAAAATGATAAAACAGAATTTCATGAAACACAACAAGAACTGAAAAACCAGAAGGAATGGTGACTTACCAGAGAAAGGAAGCCAGTGTGAGGATCGCCGAGATCAAGTGACGGTCGTGAAGGCAACGGAACAATGGAAAATCCGCCGGAAAGGATGAATGGAACGAGTTACAGAGCAAGGAGAGCTTGAACAATGGAGGATTTGAGGAGAAAAGCTAAAGAGAGAGAGAGAGCAACAGAGACAATGAAAAGTGAAAGGACAAAAATCGGAAACAAGTTTTGTTAAAAATTGGAAACGACGGCAAAAAGGCCATCAATGCGCCTAGGAAGACGGCTTTGTTAGACGGTGCACGCAGGCGCGAGACGGTTTTTTGGCGCGTCGCAGGTACGATCCAATATAGGAAAGACACGTGTCATAAACGGTTGAATTATTGTATGACAGCTCATACGCGTGAAAGGGTTCTTGAAATTCTTGTTCTTTAGCGAAGACATGTCGGCAAACATAATGATCTCGGCTGAGATACTGTAAACCGACATACTGGAAGAAAGGAATGATATAGGTTCCATCACCTCAGAATGCCAAGGTAATAGAACCTAGGCGGCAGTTGTGGGGATATATTTTCTGAGTATCAACACATGGCTAAGGTGACGCCGACGTGTCAGCCGAGGTGCCACGTGTCCTGGTCATGACGCCGAGGTTACCTCCGAAGATATCGGAATCCAAAATAAGCGGATAAGGCACAAGAGTCCTAGAAAAGGGGAAGACTACAGTTTGGAAAGGATAAGACTCTTAGGGAGTTTATCCCAATCCTACTAGGAGTCCAAGATTGATAGTAACCCTAAGTCCATTAGAGCTAGGCTCTTGTTAGGACAAGGATTAAGTTAGCTATAAAAGAGAGGCACCCCCGTGGGTCTAAGGTACGCAATTTATATTCTGAACAGTGAGTTTGCACTATTGATTATCTGTGAGAGATATACTGACTTGATCGTCAGAGTGCCCCCGGATGAACGAACCACCGCCGGAATCTTCTCTTTCGTCGTGCCAGGCACTAAATCAAAAGTCGTCGGCAACAAGAAGGATCCCAGGGAGGGCAAGCTTGGCCCAAATTGGGAAGGACCCTACAGATTAGTTCCTAAGACTTATATAACTACCACACTCTAACATATGCAAGTTACACTCTCCCACTTCCCCTTTCTTTCTTTCTGCTCTCCTTTCTGCTTTGGGCCGAAGCCCTTTGCTCTCTTGCCTGAGCTCCCCCTCCTCTGCTGTCTCTCGCCTGCCTTTTATAGGCAAAACCCTGCACAATCAAACAACAATTATAATAATAATAATATATATATATATATATATCAATTGAGGGCGACTGTTGCCGACACCCTCTTTTAATTTCTTTTTTCTTTTTAATTTATTTTATAATTAGTATAATATAATATATAAAATATCTAAAATATATTATTTACATTAACTTATATGCAAACACTCAAAATATATAAAACATATAAAAATTCTAAAATATTAAAAATAAATGAATTATTAAAATGTATTTTAGTGGACCAAATATGTAACATTTAGGTTCCAATCATACCCCAAACTTACATTTTGCTAGTTCTCGAGCAAAACAAATTAATAAATAAACAATAAAATTTGGGATCAAACAGGACTTTTATTGGGTTAGTCAAACAGGGTTAGAGATATGTAACAAAACGGGTAAGAATCAGTATCTCCTTTTTTAGTGTAAGGGAATAGTTAAAATTATTATTTCATGTTTTCGACATTCTCTTTCTTCAACAATATGTACTAAAGCAAACTCCCTTCCATAATCTTTTTTTTTTTTTTTTTTGTCTCTTCTCTATTGTACGGGAAAGAAATAAACATTCTCGTATAATCCTGTTGATCAAGTCTGCGCTCCTCTGTACGACGTCGCTTTACTCCCTCAAAACACAAATGTGAGCTAACCGGCGGGTGTGTGCCGGATATCTCTCCGATGCCTAAGTTAGCAAAATAGACAAATAGACAAATGCTCTATGTATTCGAGAATCGAAGTTGCGTTACCTCTCCATAGGTGATGTTACGAGCTTTTATAGGTTCTGCGTGGCACAATTCTAGTAGGACTCTTACTCCTCCATGTAGAATCCTCCTAGGAATCACATTCCTGAAAGATAATGCTTAGCCTTCAACACCCCCCTTACTGCTTAAACCAAGTGAGATGGTTTTACCTAGGTCGGATGTCTATATGACCGAGATAACATGGCTGTGCTAAAACTACAGAATAGACCGAGCTCCACCTAGCTCGGTTCTTCCTTTCACTGCTTGTACCTTGGTTTCTTCCGTACAAACCATACTAATCCATAATGTGCTTAGGCCGTGCTAATGAATGGCTAGGTTTGACCGAGCTAACTGCATTATGCCACGACCGAGCTAATTCTGAGTGTGGTGACCGGGCTATCCACAAATCTCTCCTGGACCGGGATAACAATAAGGCTTTCTAGGACCGGGCTAACTCTAAGACTCTCTTGGACCGGGCTAACGCCAAGACCCTTTTACTCCGCCCTTCTTACTGTGGCCCACAACGGCCCATTACCCAGCTCGGCCCAATTTATATATAAATTACCTTCTCAATTGCCGCTTAATTCCATCTGCACAACATGATAGGGATTACTTGTTATGAGCCGAGCTAAAAAACTTTTAGCATTCCAACCGGACTAAATTCTTTTAGCATTCCAACCGAACTAAATTCTTTAGCATTCCAACTGGGCTAGGTTAACACCGGGCTACTTAAATATGCCCGGTCAAAACGTCTCTTCAATCGCTACAACTGAATCACTTCTCATTCTTAGGACACGTGGCACACTCTTATTGGCCTAGTGCAGCTGTCACGTTGTCTTCGTACTTCGCGTAATTTAAACAGTCCTGCCTTTTTTGTCCTTCCCTCTACACAA